GCCACCATACTCGGCTAATATTTTTTTGTTTTTTGAGATGGAGTCTCGCTCTATCACCAGGCTGGAGTGCAGTGGCATGATCTCAGCTCACTGCAGCCTCCTCCTCCTGGGTTCAAGCGATTCTCCTGCCTCAGCCTCCCAAGTAGCTGGGACTGCAGGCGCCTGCCACCATGCCTAGCTAATTTTTGTATTTTTAGTAGAGATGGGTTTTCTCCGTATTGGTCAGGCTGGTCTCAAACTCCTGGCCTCAGTTGATCTACCTGCCTCAGCCTCCCAAAGTACAGGGATTACAGGTGTGAGCCACCGTGCCCAGCCACCAATGTCTTAATGGCCACACAGTGCTCACTAATATATGCCTTGGCCCTCGGCTCTTGTTGCTGTAGAATTGGTTTGATGACTACATATTAGATGAGATCTGGGTTCATTAGAGTTTATGCCTTGAATGGGGAGTTCTCGGCCTAGGTTTACGCCTGTTCCTGACCTTGTTAATGACTGCTATTAACACTCTACCCCCTTCTTATTTTTTAAGATGGGATCTCATTCTGTTGCCCAGGCTGGAGTACAGTGACATAGTCTTGGCTCACTGCAGCCTCTGTCTCCCAGGCTCAAGTGATTTTCATGCCTCAGCCCCCCCGAGTAGTTGGGACTGCAGGCACATGCCACGGCCCCCGACTGAGATGGGGGTTTTCAAGAGATGGGGTCTCCATCTGTTGCCCAGGCTGGTCTCAAATTCCTGAGCTTAAGTGATCCTCTTGCCTTGGCCTCCCAAAGCCCGGGGATTAAAGGTGTGAGCCATGTTTCACCATGTTGGCCGGGCTGGTCTCAAACTCTAGCTCAGGGGATTCATCCACCTCGGCCTCCCAAAGTGCTGGGACTACAGGTGTAAGCCACTGTGTCCAGCCTTGCACACAGCCTTATTTGGATTCCTTATGCTCTTTTGACAAGCTCAGAGCCTCAGAAAAAGTCAGAAAATAGATGATTACATCAGGCAGGCTCTGTCAACAGGGATTATACAAACCATTAGCCCAACTGTTAATAGAAATCTACCTTCCTGTTGGGTGTGATAATTCACACATATAATCCCAGTGCTTTGGGAGGCCAAGGCAGGAGGATCACTTGAGCCCAGGAGTTTGACACAGCCTGGGCAACATAGTGAGACCCCATTTCTTAAAAAAAAAAAAAAAGAATTAGCTGGGCATGGCAGCATACACCTGTAGTCCCAGCTAGTCAGGAGGCTGAGGTAGGAGGATCACTGCAGCCCAGGAGTCCAAGGCTGCAATTAGCCATGATTGTGCTGCTGCATTTCAGCCTGGATGATAGATTGAGAGCCTATCTCTTAGGAAAGAAAAAAAATCTGCTTCCCTCACCTCTGCTGTAGACAGCTCAAAGTCCTGAGAGCCAGTGCTCTTACCATTCACCTCCTCTAGCTGTTGGCTAATTTGTTTCATCTTCTTTTAGGAAGTTCTCCAGAATTCCATCTCCTTCCTTGTCTTCCCCTCCCAGTTACTCCTGTACTCAGTTCTTTGTCTTTCCTCCTCCACGGGGTAGAAACTTATCTTGCTCATACTGCCAGTGACTGACTTCACTCAGCCCAGTGGATATTTTCCAGCCCTTATCTTCCCTGCTTCTCTGTTGCATCCTTGTGACACTGAAATGTTTCCCTTGAAACTGTCCCCTCCCAGGACAGCACACTCTTCCTGATTGTCATCTCTGTCACTCCTCATCTCTCTCATTCTGCTTCTTCTCTGCCTCCTTCAGCTATCATTTCTTTCTCTGCCCGCCTTTCCAATATTGGCACTCTTTGGTGTTCCATGCACAGTCCCTAGGATCGCTCATTGTCACAAGGAAAGAGAAAAACCAGCTACAGACGCATGAGTCTCAAATGGATATTGTTGACCCGATTTCAACCCTGAGTTTCAGCTCCAGTGCTGTATCTCGGTGTGTCATGGACATGTCAAGCTGTGAATTTCTGAGACTGGGTTCGTTCTCTCTCCCTAACCCACCCACCTACCCAAGAGTTTTCCTTTTGATAGTCTTTTTTTTTTTTTTTTTGAGATGGGATCTTACTCTGTTGCCCAGGCTGGAGTACAGCGGCATGGTCATGGGTCACTGCAGCCTTGACCTCCCCGGACTCAGGTGATCCTCCCCCCTCATCCTCTTGAGTGGTTGAAACTACGGACACACCACCATGGCCACCTACTTACTGTATTGTTTCGTAGATAGAGGGTCTCACCAGGTTGCCCAGGCTGGTCTGGAACTCCTGGGCTTAAGCATTCCACCTGCTTTGGCCTCCCAGTGTGCTGGCATTACAGATGCGAGGCACTGCACTTTCTGGAATTCTTTATCTCTGGTGATGCAGATGGTGGTGGCACCCAGTTGCCTAAGCCAGAGCCGCAGAAGATGTCCTCACCTCCTTTTTCTCTCTCCCTTATTCCAAAAAGTCATAATTCATCAAGTTCTGGTAAGTTTACTGGCTAGATAATTTTGGAGTCAATTTTTGCGCCCTCCATCTTCATTCCTACTTTGTTTTTTAGTTTGTTTGTGAGATGGAGTCCAGCTCCGTTGCCAGGCTGGAGTGCAATGGCAAGACCTCGGCTCACTGCAACCTCCGCCTCCCAGGTTCAAGCGATTCTCCTGTCTCAGCCTCCCGAAGAGCTGGGATTATAGGCATGCACCACCATGCCAGGCTAATCTTTTTGTATTTCTAGTAGAGATTGGGTTTCTCCATGTAGGTCAGGCTGGTTTTGAACTCCTGACCTGAGGTGATCTGCGCACCTCGGCCTCCCAAATTGCTGGTGTTACAGGCATGAGCCACTGTGCCCAGCTCCTACTTTCTTTTTTAAGACAAGGTCTCACTCTGTTGGTGGTTGGGCGCAGTGGCTCACGCCTTTACTCCCAGTACTTTGGGAGGCTGAGGTGGGTGGGTGACAAGGTTAAGAGATAGAAATCATCCTGGCTAACATGGTGAAACCCTGTCTCTATTAAAAATACAAAAAAATTAGCTAGGCATGGCGGCGCATGCCTGTAATCCCAGCTACTCGGGAGGCTGAGGCAGGAGAACCATTTGAACCCAGGAGGCAGAATTTGCAGTGAGTTGAGATTGCGCCACTGCGCTCCAGCCTGGTGACAGAGCTAGATTCCATCTCAAAAAAAAAAAAAAAAAAGACAAGGTCTCTGTTTCCCAGGCTCGAGTGCAGTGCCATGATCATAGCTTACTGCAGCCTCAAAGTCCTGGACTCACATGATCCTCCTTTCTCAGCCTCCCAAGTAGCTAGGACTACAGATGTGTTGCACCACACCAGACTAATTTTTAAAAGATTTTTTTTGTCGATGTAGGATCTTGCTGTGTTGCCCTGGCTGGTCTCGAACTCCTGGCCCCAAGTGTTGTCTTGCCTTGTTCTCCCAATGTGCTGGGATTACAGGTGTGAGCCACTATACCCGGCCTATTCTCACTTTCTAATGCGGGCCACCTTCGTTTCTTTTTTCCTTTTTAAACAGGATCTCACGTCATCACCCACGCTGGAGTGTAGTGGCATGATTTTGGTTCACTGCAACCTGTGCCTCCTGTGCTCAGGTGATCCTCCCACCTCAGTCTCCTGTGTAGCTGACATCACAGGCATGTGCCACTACACCTGACTGATTTTTTTCTATGTCTAGTAGAGGTAGGGTTTCACCATGTTGGCTAGGCTGCTGTCGAACTCCTGGGCTCAAGCGGTCTGCCCACTTTGGCCTGCCAAAGTGCTGGGATTACAGGCGTGACAACTGGGCCTGGCCTCCACCCTCCTTTCTTTTTTGCATTGCTGCAAGTGCTCTCCATCTTTGGCCTTGTCCTTCCTCTGCCTGTCCATGGCCGCTAGGACCAGCTATTTAAGCAGGAGAGCCCGTCATATAACATTGAGATCACATCACTCTCTTCTTTAACAACCTCCAATGGTTTCCCGTTGACTAAGTCACAGATGCCAAAAGCCATCTATTTCAGTCTGTCCAGGTTCTCCTCTACTCCTCACCCTTCAACCCAGGCCTATCAGACTCCCTCTACCTCCCCTGTAAGTGCCTGGCTGTTTCTCCTCATTCCCCTCTGTGTAGTGTCCTCTTTTTTCCCTACCCACTTACCACTGCCTTCCAGTTCTTTCACATTCTTTCACATGCTCCTCATGTGTCACCTCTGCCAGGAAGTCTTCCTTGACTCAGGTTGAGTTTGGAACTTCTTAAATATCCTGGGCACTGATATAAATGTTTATTATCTTGATTGTGATGATGGTTTCTCAGGTGCATATGTATATCAAAACATACCAACGTGTATACTCAAATATATGCAATTTATTGCATGTCAAAATTGTGTGCACATTTCTGTGGCTGCAGTAGACACAGAGTTTTATAATTTACATGGGGCCCGGTGCAGTGGTTCACTTTGGGAGGCTGAAGCAGCTGGTTCACTTGAGGTCAGGAGTTCAAGACCAGCCTGGCCAACATGGTGAAACCCTGTCACTACCAAAAATAAATTAGCCAGGCGTGGTGGTGCATGCCTGTAATCCCAGCTCTTCTGGAGGCTGAGGCACAAGAATCATTTGAACCCAGGAGGCAGAGGTTGCAGTGAGCTGAGATCATGCTACTGTACTCCAGCCTGGGTGATAGAGCAAGAGTCTGTCTCAGATAGTTAATTATAATAATTATTATTATTTACGTGCAGTTTACATTCTTCCCCTTCTTCCTCCACCAGGCTGTGAGTCCCCTTTAGGGAAGGCAGGCATCTTGGAGACATTTAACATGGCTCCCTCGGTCCTATAGTAGGTGCTCAGTAAATATTTGTATATGGCTGTACATGAGCCTTGATGTTAACCCAGGGAATGTAATAGGTGAGTGACTTGTCTTTTGTTTGGGTTTACTTCAGATTTTTGGCATATTTAATAATTTAACACACAAGAAGTTTATTTTTTTTTCCTGTTAAACGTCAACTACTTAACCAGATGTGAGTAATCATTTTCAAACCTTTATCCTAGACACCATGCCACAAGAAGACTGATCTCTTCTGCTGTTTTCACCATGGAGGACTCTGGAAAGACTTTTAGCTCTGAGGAAGAAGCAGCCAACTATTGGAAAGATCTGGCAATGACCTACAAACAGAGGTCAGTCCGAGTTCACCTGTTTTTCCTTTTTTTTTTTTTTGAGATGAAGTTTTACTCTTGTTTCCAGGCTGGACTGCAATGGCATGATCTCACCTACCGCAATCTCTGCCTCCTGGGTTCCAGTGATTCTCCTGCCTCAGCCTCCCAAGTAGCTGGGATTACAGTGTACTGTGAAGGTTTAACTTATACTATCTCAAAACTGCCTGTGAAGAAACTATTAACACCCCCATTTTATAGATGGAGAAACTGAGACTCAGTGAAGGCAGATAACTTGACCACAGTCACACAGCCTATAAGTAGTAGAGCTGTAATTTGAACTCTAGACCTATGGTCCTGATTATCCTACTATGCCACTTTTCATCATTATTATTTTCTTGTTTTTTTTTTTTTTTTTGGAGACAGAGTCTTGCTCTGTTGCCCAAGCTGGAGTGCAGTGGCGCCATCTTGGCTTACTGTACTCTTTGCTTCCTGGGTTCAAGTGATTCTCGTGCCTCAGTCCCCTGAGTAGCTGGGATTACAGGTGTACGCCACCAGGTCTGGCCAGTTTTTTTTTTTTTATTTTAGTAAAGACAGGGTTTTGCCATGTTGGCCAGGCTGGTCTTGAACTCCTGGCCTCAAGTGATCTGCCCGCCTCACCCTCCCAAAATGCTGGGATGACAGGCATGAACCACCATGCCTGGTCTTCCCTGTTATTTTCTACAAGGGTTTATCAGTTCCTAGATGCTGTATCTGGTCAGTTCTTTGTGTGCAGGGAAAGAGCTTTTCCCTATGCTTACGAAAATATCTTGTTGCAGATTTTGAAATTTGAAACCCGTGTTTTGGTTGGTGCTCGTATCTGGGAGTTATGTGTGTGTGTTTGGTTTGGCACTATTTGTTTTTATTTCTAATGGGTCTTTACAGTCTGTACATAGAGGACTTATTCCAGTCCCCTTAGTTTCTTTTATTTATTGAAAATTATTTGAGGGCCAGGCTCAGTGGCTCACATCTATAATCCCAGCACTTTGGGTAGGCAGATGGCTTGAGCTTAGGAGTTTGAGACCAGCTGTGGCAACATGGCAAAACCCTGTCTCTACGAAAAATACAGAAATTAGCTGGGCGAGGTGGTGGGCACTTGTAGTCCCAGCTATTCCAGAGGCTAAGGCAGGAGAATTACTTGAACCTGAGAAGCAGAAGTTGCAGTGAGATGAGAGTGTACCCCTTGAGCCTGGGTGACAGAGCGAGACTCTTGTCTCTAAAAAAATTATTGTGTGACGATTGGAAATTCTGCTGTAGGGCAGAAAATACACAAGAGGAGCTCCGAGAATTCCAGGAGGGAAGCCGAGAATATGAAGCTGAATTGGAGACGCAGCTGCAACAAATTGAAACCAGGAACAGAGACCTCCTGTCAGAAAATAACCGCCTTCGAATGGAGCTGGAAAGCATCAAGGTGAGGGTCTGAGAGGAAGTGTGCTCAGGTGTAGACAGGCTTCCAACACGGGCATGGCATGCTTGGCTGGAAGAAGGAACCCTGCAATGAGGGGCTCCAGGCCCATCTCAAGGGCCTGTGGGGGCAGACATGATGGACATGAATTCTTTGTGCCTCTAATGGGTGGAGTTTTTTTTTTCTTTTCTGAGACGGAGTTTCACTGTTGTTACCCAGGCTGGAATGCAACAGCACAATCTTAGCTCACTGCAACCTTCACCTCCCAGGTTCAAGTGATTCTCCTGCCTCAGCCTCCTGAGTAGCTGGGATTACAGGCACCTGCCACCATGCCCAGCTAACTGTATTTTTAGTAGAGATGGCGTTTTATCATGTTGGCCAGGCTGGTCTGGAACTCCTGAACTCAGGTGTTCCATGATGGGTGGAGGTTTGAGAAGCAAGTCACACACGTGTTCCCGTGGACTTTCTTGGTTATCTACACCGATTTTATAGAGCACGTGGCAGGGAATCTCTTTTTAAATTTTTTTTGAAACAGGGTCTTGCTCTATGCCCAGCCTGGAGTACAGTGGCTGGATTATACTCACTGCATCCTGGACCTCCCAGGCTCAAGCAATCCTCCCACCTGAATCTCCGGAGTAGCTGGGACTGTAGGCATGCGCCACCATGCCTGGTTAATTTTTGTATTTTTTATAGAGATAGGGTTTTGCTCTTTTGCCCAGGTTAGTCTTGAACTCCTGGACTCAAGCAGTTCTCCTGCCTTGGCCCCCCAAAATGCTGGGATTACAGGTATGAGCCACTACCTGGCCAGGGAGACTAGAGTATGGAGGTCTTGCTAGACTAATAAGGTCCAGTATTGTAGTCCTTAGCTACATGTGACTGTTGAAATTTTTTTTTTGAGATGAGTCTTGTCTCTATCACCTAGGCTGGAATGCAGTGGCTCCATCTTGGCTCACTGCAACCTCCGCCTCCCGGGTTCAAGCGATTCTCTTGTCTCAGCCTCCTGAGTTGCTGGGATTACAGGCATGTGCCACCAGGCCCCACTAATTTTTGTATTTTTAGTACAGAGTTTCATTATGTTGGCCAGGCTGATCTCAAACTTCTGACCTCAGGTGATCCTCCCAAAGTGCTGGGATTACAGGTGTGAGCCACCATGCCACCATGCCACCATGCCTGGCTGTGGCTGGTGAAATTTAATGAATTAAAATAAGTCACAGTAGCCACAATTCAAGTGCTTAGGAGCCACATGTGGCCAGTGAGTTTCCTTAGTGGACAGAGGGATGTAGAACATTTCCTTCATTACCAAAAGGTCTGTTGGACTGGGCCCGTTCAGAGCAGGGTACTTGACCTGGGTGCTGTTGACATTTGAGCCTGGGCTATCCTCCATTGGGAAGGACTGGGTACTTGACCTGGGTGCTGTTGACATTTGAGCCTGGGCTATCCTCCATTGGGAAGGACTGATACTTGCTTTGTGGGATTTTTTTTTTTTTTTTTTGAGATGGAGTTTTGCACTTTTGCCCAGGCTGGAGTGCAATGGCACGATTTCAGCTCACTGCAACCTCTACCTCCCAGGTTCAAACAATTCACCTGCCTTAGCGTCTTGAATAACTGGGATTATAGGCACCCTGTACCATGCCTGGCTTTTTGTGTTTTTAGCAGAGACAAGGTTCACCATGTTGGCCAAACTGGTCTCAATCTGACCTCAAGTGATCTACCTGCCTCAGCCTCCCAAAGTCCTGGGATTACAGGTGTGAGCCACCACGCCCGGCCACATTGTGGGATGTTTAGCAGCATCCCTGGCCTCCACCCTCTAGATGCCATTAGCATCCCCCTCCACTTCCAAGGTGGCGACAACCAAAAGCACCTCTAGACATAGCCACGTATCCGGAGACCCACTGGTCTGACAGGTAAAGACCCTGCCTTCCGTACATTCTGTAGGTCTCAGCAAGGGATCAGTAAGTCAACACTGTGCCCCAGAGACTGGCTCTCAGCCCTCCTGCCAGCATCACTGGCCCAGCTTCATAAATACTTGACAGGACTGAACCCTCTCTCCCCATCCTCATCTTCCCACCTTGAACTGAGATTCCATTTCTCAGTAAGTCTGGGTAGGGTCTTGGTACGTGTGTGTGTGTGTGTGTGTGTGTGTGTGTGTGTGTTTTCTCATTAAGCTCCCCATGTAAATTTTTTTTTTTAGACAGTCTTGCTGTCACCCAGGCTAGAGTACAGTGGCGTGATCTCGTCTTACTGCAACCTCTGCCTTCCAGGTTCAAGCGATTCTCCTGCCTCAGCCTCCAGAGTAGCTGGGACTACAGGTGTGCACTGCTACGCCCAGCTAATTTTTGTATTTTTAGTAGAGATGGGGTTTCACTCTGTTGGTCAGGCTGGTCTCAAATTCATGACCTTATGATCCACCTGCCTTGGCCTCCCCAAGTGCTGGGATTACAGGTGTGAGCCACAGTGCTTAGCCACTCCCCATGTAAATTTTGATGAGCTGCTTTGTGGAAGAGTCAAAACTGTGTGCCCAGTGCTAGGTGTGGTAGTCCGTGAAAGGGGAAGTTTGGTTGCCTTCTTTGGGAAGACAAACCTAATGCCATGAAACATTTGCGATCGTGGAGTTCAGTCACAGAGTTCTGATGTGGGAGCCTTTCAAAAGAGAAAGGACAGCTGGGTGCAGGGGCACATGCTTGTACTCCCAGCACTTTGGGACGCCGAGGCGGGCAGATCACGAGGTCAGGAGTTTGAGACCAGCCTGACCAACATGGTGAAACTACTAAAAATACAAAAATTATCTGGGTGTGGTGGCGGGTGCCTGCAATCCTAGCTACTCAGGAGGCTGAGGCAGGAGAATCACCTGGACCTGAGGCAGAAGTTGCAATGAGCCAAGATCGTGCCACTGTACTCCAGCCACGATGACAGAGAAAGATATCATCTCAGGAAAAAAAAAAAGAGAGAGGACTTCGTGGGTTGAGGGAGGCTTTGTGGAGGTCATTTGCAGGTGTGGTCACTGAGAGCTTGGTGCCTGGGGGATGGGGCCAAGGGAGAGTTGACTCATTGGGTCAACTGGCCAAGGGAGAGTCCAGACCCATTACAGGCATGGACAAGAATGGGTGTTGGGTGGACCTTGGCAAGCCTGGCTTTGCTAATGCATAGGAAAGGGTGTGGGACCCACCAGTGGATTGGAGGTTTGGGGCAGGGCAGAGGAGAGGTCCCAAACACATTAAAGGTGAGCAGTGGAGCTGAAGCTTTCTGTTGCAAACCAGAGAGCCCAGCTGGCCGTCTGCTGATCCATTTGCCCCATTGGTGGTGGTTGATTAGCCTTCAGTGGTTTTTGTTCCATATTTCCCCATGAATGTTTTTCAGCATACAAGGCTGAAAAAATTTCCAGTGAATTCCTGTGAACCCACCACTATCTAGGCACTACCAATAATATTTACCCTATTTGCCTTTTATTATATATATTTTCAGCCATCAAAATTGGTAAGGCTTCCTGTAAAAAGATGGATTTCTGGCTAGGCACAGTGGTTCACACCAGTAATCCCAGCCCTTTGAGAGGCTGAGGAGGGAAAATCACTTGAGACCAGGAGATTGAGGCCAGCCTGGGCAACATAGTGAGACTTTGTCTCTACAAAAAAATCAAAATAAAAAAATTAGCCAAGCAAGGTGGTGCACACCTGTAATCTCAGCAACTCAAGAGGCTGAGGCAAGAGGATCACTTGACCCTAGAAGTTCGAGGCTTCGGTGACCTACAGTTGTACTGTTGCACTCCAGCCTGGGTGACAGAGGAAAAGTTAAAATAAAAAATAAAAAATCTGACTAGTGGTCGCTTAGAACAAACATTCTCGAGTTTGCCCCAGTTCCTATATCACTGACACTGAGGCCTTCGTGTCTTTGCTGGCTGTCCCTGAACCTGGCCCATTTCACCCATTGTTAACAGCCGAACGCCTGCTACAGGCAATGGGGCATGATTATCTTTCTTTTTGTTGTTGTAGGAGATGGCCTCCCTCTGCCACCCAGGCTGGAGTGCAGTGGGACAATCTCGGCTCACTGCAACCTCTGCCTTCCAGTCTCAAGTGATCCTCCCACTCACTTCAGCCTCCCAGTAGCTGGGGTTACAGGTGCCTGCTACCAGGCCTGGCTAATTTTTGTTATTTTTTGTAGACACAGTGTTTTACATGTTGCCCAGGCTTGTTTTGAACTCCTGAGTGCAAGTGATCCGCCCGCCTTGGCTTCTCAAAGTGCTGGGATTACAGGTGTGAGCCACTGTGCCTGCTGATTGTAGTTCCTAAATTGAAGGAGCCTCAGGGTTGAAAAGCTGGGTGGAAGGAAGATGAGGGGTATGAACTGCAGTTTCTGGTGGATAACAGGCCCTCCATGGATCCAGAGTAAAATGTCAAGCAGTTGCTAAATAATTTTCTACTTCAGGACTTCTTTTTTTTGTTTTGAGATAGAGTCTTGCTCTATCACCCGGGCTGGAGTGCAAGGGTGCAATCTCGGCTCACTGCAACCTCTGCCTCCTGGGTTCAAGTGATTATCCTGTCTTGGCCTCCTAAGTAGCTGGGATTACAGGCGTGCGCCAGGATGCCTGGCTAATTTTTTTTGTATTTTTAGTCGAGACGAGGTTTAACCATGTAGGTCGGGCTGGTCTCAAACTCCTGACTTTGTGATCTGCCTGCCTCGGATGCCCAAAGTGCTGGGATTACAGGCATGAGCTACCGCGCCTGGCCAAGACTGAGCCCCTGAAAACTGCAGGAGCCTGCAGGAGACCCCTTCATTTACAACCATGTCAGATGCATGAGACTCAGAGCACACAGCACGGGGAAGAAACCTTGGAATAACAAGGACCCTGCCACCAGCAAATATTTGTCAGTCACCTAAGAGAAATGTATTCAGCTGGGCCAGACTTCTTAACAACTGGCTTATTCATCACGGGTTGAATGAAAAAGGCTTTAAGGGACCAAACAGAGCATCTATTGATGCCCCCATCAGCTGACAGATTATTCGAATTAGCCCCAAATGGGCAGCACAGCATTTCAGCGACTGGTTTTCGTGTCCGCAGATTCCAAGGAGATCTCCAAATTGCTAATGCGCAGGCTGCAGGGCGCACTCGCTGCATCCTCCTGGAGTCTGCGTTTGAATTTAGGCTGAAGACTTAAGATCCTGTTCTATTTGGAGATGTTCCCAAATAAAGGGTGTGAGGCGATGAGAGCCATGCCTGGGAACGGGGCCTGATCTGTGTCTACTTGCTGGGTGCAGAAACTTCTCCACTTACAGCCAGGAAACAGGAGGGCGGGGTGCGGAAGTGGACCGCCCTCCCCATCCCTCTGCGCTGCTGTAAATCACCTTCTTGTTCTTTCTTTGGAGTCTTCTTGCCCTGTGGCCCTCACCACGCCTCTCTGACCTCGGCACCATTACATCACCCTTCTGGGTGCATCTGGACTTCCCAGCAACAGCTTTGTTTACTTAAGGTAGAGGAGTTGGCCTTTTTTAAAAAAACAGAAAACTTTCGAATTAGTTCCTGTGTTTTTCTTGTGGGAAGTGTTTTCTCTCATGTTTATAGACTCTAGGATGCGTGTTTTGCAAGTGATTCCCCTGCCTCAGCCGCCCAGGTAGCTGAGACTACAGGCACATGCCACCATACCCAGCTGTTTTTTTTTATATTTTTGGTAGAGATGGATTTTCACCATGCCGGCCAGGCTGGTCTCAAACTCCTGACCTCAAGTGGTCCGCCCACCTTGGCCTTCCAAGTAGCTGGGACTATAGCTGTGCACCACTGTTCCAGGCTAATTTTTGTATTTTGGTTTTACCATGTTGTCCAGGCTGGTGATTTTTTTAAGCATCAGGGTCTCACTCTGGCGTGGGCTGGAGTGCAACAGCATGACCTTGGCTCACTGCAACCTCTGCTTCCAGGGTTCAAGTGATTCTCCTGGAATCTCAGCTTCCCAAGTAGCTGGGATTTCAGGTACCCGCCAACACGCCAGGCTAATTTTTTGTATATTTAGTAGAGATGGGGTTTCACCTGGTTGCCAGGCTGGTGATATCTTTTTTTTTTTTTTTTTTAAGCGTCTTTTTTTTCTGGCCTGGGCTGGAGTGCAGTGACGTGATCATAGCTCACTGCAGTCTCAGTCTCCTGGCCTCAAGCAATGTTCTCCTGTCATTCTCCCAAGTAGCTACGACTACGGGTGCATGCCGCCATGCCTGGCTGTTTTTTAAATTTTCTGTAGAGACAGTCTTGCTGTGTTGTCTAGGCTGGTCTGCCTCTGCCACCTGAAAAGTGCTGGCATTACAGGCATGAGGCATTGCACCTGGCTCTGGGTGTTTGGCGAAGGAAAGTAATTTGGAAGCGGAGTAGGAACAAAATTGAGAGAGCACGGGAGTGGCCAGGTGATCTGGAGTGAAATGGTTTAGGGGCTTTTAGCATAATTGCTTAAGGACACCTGCTGAGGAGGCTGGGGTTTGATCCCGGGTCAGTCACTTGCTACCCAGTTGACTCTGGGCTAGGTAAGTAACTCGGCCTCAGTGTTCCTATCTCTGAAGTGGGATTAAAGAAGACAACATAGGTAGTGTACTTAGCCTGGAGGCCGGTACAGAATAAGCGTGTAATGGATGTTATTGCTGCAGCTGGCAACAAGGAATCATTGAGAAGTCAGCTGGACTGTTTCTTTGGTAATTAACAGGCTCTCTCTCCTTTCTCCTCTTTTCCTTTCTGTCTCCCTCCCTCCCTTTCTCTTCGCTCCCTCTTCTCTCTTTCCCCCTCCCTCTCTTCTTATGTCTTTGTGTTCCTATTTTTTGTATTTTGTTTTTTATTTTTATATTTTGAGAAGGAATCTTATTCTTGTTGCTCAGGCTGGACTGCAGTGGTGCAATTTCTGCTTGCTGCAACCTCCACCTCCTGGGTTCAAGTGAGTCTTCTGCCTCAACCTCCTGAGTAGCTGGGATTGTAGGCATGTGCCACAATGCCTGACTAATTTTTTTTTTTTTTTTTTTTTTTTTTAAGAGATGGCGTTTCAGCATGTTGTCTAGGCTGGTCTCAAACTCCTGACCTCAGGTGATCTGCCCGCCTTAGCCTCCCAGTGTGCTGGGATTACAGGTGTGAGCTACTGTGCCGGGCCTGTCTTTCTGTTTTTAAATAACCCAGAGATCGGAATGTTCCTTCTCTCTTTATCCATGCTACAACAGGGAGTCCTGGATCAACAATTCAGAATGGTTGACTGTTGTAAAACCAAGTACATGCTGCCCTCCCATTGTTCCGGCACAAACAATGGAAGTCATTGTGATTCCTTTTTTTTTTTTTTTTTTTTGTGGAGACAGCAGGGTCTCACTTTGTTGCGCAGGCTGGAGTGCAGTGATGCAATCCCAGCTCAATGCAGCTCTGACCTCCCAGGCTCAAATGATCCTCCCACCTCAGCCTCACAAGTAGCTGGAACTACAGGCGAGAGCCACCATGCCCTGCTAATTTTTATTTTTTTGTAGAGAATAGGTTTCACTCTGAGGGCCAGGCGGGTGACTTTCTTTGTAATACAGTGATAATGTGTGAAGGAGACCCATGTTGCTCTTCTGGATGACACTTGGAGAAGTCACGTGTCTTTCTTAGGCTGCGGACACCTTGGGCAGAATGATTTATCTGAAGATTGTTGGGGGCTGTTGGAACCAGGTTTGGGAGTGGGCAGGATTCCAGGTGCTCAGGGGGTGGGATGTGGGTGGCATTCAGGACATAATTAAAACTGTTGGTCAGGCCGGGTGAGGTGGCTCACACCTGTAATTTCAACACTTTGGGAGGCCGAGGTGGGCAGATCACCTGAGATGGGGAGTTAAAGAACAGCCTGACAAACATGGAGAAACCCCATCTCTACTAAAAATACAAAAGATTAGCCGAGCGTGGTGGCACGTGGCTGTAATCCCAGCTACTTGGGAGGCTGAGGCAGGAGAATCTCTTGAACCATGGAGGTGGAGATTGCGGTGAGCTGAGATAGTGCCATGGCACTTCAACCTGGGCAACAAGAGGGAAACTCCATCTCAAGAGAAAATAAAATAAAACAGTTGGTCAGTTGTTGCTGCTTTGAATGACACCTGCCTGTTCCCACCTCGTTAAGTGACTTGCCTGAGATTCAGCTCTCTGGAGAGAAGAAGGTTCTGTTGACTGAGCCTGCCTTGTCTCTGATTGCGGTGGGAGGGTGGGACGGAAATCCTGGAGCTTCCCCAGGGAGTATGGTGGGAGGAGGAGTTTCAGAAAGTGACAGGGTCAGGCCGGGCACAGTGGCTCACACTTGTAATTCCAGCACTTTGGGAGGCCAAGGTGTGCGAATCAGTTGAGGTCAGGAGTTTGAGACCACCCTGGCTAACATGGTGAAACCTCATCTCTACTAAAAATACAAACATTAGCCAGGCGTGGTGGCAGGTGCCCATATTCCCAGCTACTCAGGAGGCTGAGGCAAGAGAATTGCTTGAACCTGGGAGGCAGAGGTTGCAGTGAGCCAAGATCTCACCACTGCACTCCAGCCTGGGCAACAGAGTGAGACTTAAATCTCAAAAAAAAGAAAGACACAGGGTCTTGCTTTGTTGCTCAGGTTGGAGTGCAGTGGTACATTCGTAGCTCACTGCAGCTTCTGACTCCTGGGCTCAAGCACTCCTCCCACTTTAGCCTCCCAAGTAGCTCTGGCTCCAGGTATGTATTCATGTGCAAGCGCACCTAGCCTTCACTGAAGTCATTCACTCAGTGTCTGTCTGTCTGTCTTCAGGAGAAGTTTGAAGTGCAGCACTCTGAAGGCTACCGGCAGATCTCAGCCTTGGAGGATGACCTCGCACAGACCAAAGCCATTAAAGACCAATTGCAGAAATACATCAGAGAGCTGGAGCAAGCAAATGACGACCTGGAAAGAGCCAAGCGGTACGGTGTGGGGTGGGGCGGGTAGGCCGGAGTGGGAAACTGGCCTTTCTGCTGCTTGCCTCCAGCAACTGGGTACTGGGCCCTGTGCTGAATATAGGGAACTCAGTGGGGAGCAGAACAAAGCTGGGGCCCTTCTGGCTCTTAGCCCTATGGGAAAAACGGACAATAGTCAAAGAAGTGCGATTTCATTATAGCAGCAAGGCTGGCATCCCAGGGTCCTGTGGGAGTGTGTAAGATATATTAATTTGGCTGTTGCCAGGGAGCATCAGGTTAGCCTTACCAGAAAAAATGCCATTTAGGCTAAGACCAGAGGAATGAGTAGCCATGATCCCAGGAGGAGTGTGAGATAAGAACATTCCAGGCAGAACGGTGAGCCTGTACTAAGGCTGTAAGGTAGGGAGGAAGTTTGTTCAAAGAACAGTATGTATATGTAGGGTCGTGTGTGTGTGTGTGTGTATGTTATTTTCTGAGACAGAGTCTTGCTCTGTTGCCAGGCTGGAGTGTAGTGGTGTGATCTTGGTTAACTGCAGCCTCTGTCTCCTGGATTCAAGTGATTCTCCTGCCTCAGCTGCCTGAGTAGCTGGAATTACAGGCACGTGCCACCATGCCTGCCTGATTTTTGTGTCTTTAGTAGAGATGGGGTCTCACCGTGTTGGCTAGGCTGGTCTGAAACTCCTGACCTCAGGTGATCTGCTCACCTCAGCCTCCCAAAGTGCCAGGATTACAGGTGTGAGCCAGTGCACACAGCCCAGTGTTTCCTAAGCTGATGTTCTGTAGTTTAGCAGAAGGATCACAACTAACATTTACAGAAGAATTACTCTGAGCCAAGCACTTTTTTTTTTAGATAAAAACACCTTTTAAAAATTTATATATGAATTATGTACAGTAGAATGCACAGATGTTTTTTTCTTTTCTTTTTTCTTTTATTTTTAGAGGCAGAGTCTTGCTCTGTTACCCAGGCTGGAATGCAGTGGTGCCATCATAGCTCATTGCAGCCTCAAACTCCTCTACTTCTCAAAGTGCTGGGATTACTGGCATCGGCCACTGTACCCAGCTTCTTCAGAGATTGTTTCCTGCCCCATTCTTTATCTCCCATCCATCTGGGACACCCGTTATACATATATATACGCAGATAAACCTTTTTATGTTGTCAGATAGGTTTCTAACTCTCTGGTTTTTTTCCTAATTTTTTTTCTTTGTTTCTCAAATTGAATCATTTCTGATTATCCAGTTTCAAGTTGATGGGCACCTTCTTCTCTCTTCTCCAATCTGCTATTAAAGCAGATGAAATAATGTTGAATTTATAATATATTGTATTTTTATTTTTAGATGTAGGATTTGTATTTGGTTGTTCTTTTATAATTTCTGGGTTTTTTTTTCCTTTTTTGAGACAGAGTCTTGCTTTGTCTCCAGGCTGGACAACAGTGGCGTGATCTAAGCTCACTGCAACCTCCGACTCCCTGGTTCAAGCAATTCTGCTTCAGTCTCCTCAGTAGCTGGGATTACAGGCACGTGCCACCACGCCCAGCTAATTTTTGCATTTTTAGTAGAGATGGGGTTTCACCATATTGGCCAGGATGATCTTTATCTCCTGACCTTGTGATCTGCCCACCTCTGCCTCCCAAAGTGCAGGATTATAGGTGTGAGCCACCGTGCCCTGCCTATAATTTCTGTTCTTCTGTTGAGATTTCTTTCTTGTCATCCTTGAGCATAGTTATAAGAGCTGCTTTAAGGTCCTTTTATGCAATTTTCAACATAGGGGTTACTGTAGGGTTGATTTTCAGTGATTGTGTTTTCTCTTGAGTTTGAGTTACATTATCTTTACACTCGAAAAGTTCAGGAACTTTGGGGTTGTATTCTAGAAATTGTGAATGCTGTTTCCCAGAGACTATGAGTTTTGTTTTGTTTTGGGCGGGAATCTTGATCTGTCACTCAGGCTGGAGTACAGTGATGTGATCTTGGCTCAATGCAACTTCCACCTCCCAGGTTCAAGCAATTCTCCTGCCTCAACCTCCAGAGTAGCTGGGAGTACAGGTATATGCTACCACAGCTGGTTAATTTTTGTATTTTTAGTGGAGATGGGATTTCGCCATGTTGGCCAGTCTGGTCTCGAGCTCCTGACCTGAGGTGATCTACCTGCCTTGGTCTCCCTTGGGATTACAGGTGTGAGCCACCACACCTAGCCAGAGATGATGTATTCTTTTATGTTCTTGATGTAGGTGGTTTACTTGGTTAAGCTTACACCCCAAGTTCTGTCTCCCTTGGGGTGATGGACAGTAGCTGAACTCTCTGCTTCTTTTAGCCTTAACTGGGCTGCTTGTGTCTGCACTGTGGACGTGTGGTTCAGGGGAAGCCAGAGATGGGAGAAGATAACTATATTCAGAAAGTGGGGGTCCCTCGGTGCTGGATTTCTGTCACTGGAGCTGTAGGCGGAAATCTTGTAAAGATTCAGACTTCACCCAGTGTTACTCTGTTCTTCTAAGTGGTGTTTTCCAGTTTGTGCCAGCACCCTCAGATCACTGCTTTAAACATTTTACTCAGAATTTGTACGAGGTTTGCTCTGATACTGGTTCCCTCATCATTACCAGAAGTGAAAACTCCTTCCTTGTCAATCTGTAGGAGTTCTTTGTATGTATATGTTTTTTGAGATGGAGTCTTCCTCTGTTGCCCAGGCTGGAGTGCAGTGGCACAATCTGAGCTCGCTGCAGCCGCTGCCTCCCTGCTTCAAATGATTCTCCTGCCTCAGCCTCCCAAGTAGCTGGGATTACAGGTGCCCGCCACCATGCCTGGCTGATTTTTGTATTTTTTAGTAGAGATGGAGTTTTGCCATGTTGGACAGGCTGGTCTCAAACTCCTGACCTCAAGTGATCCCCTGCCTTGGCTTCCCAAAGTGCTAGGATTACAGGCATGAGCCACTATGCAAAACCCTTTGTGTATTTTTGCTGCTAGTCTTTTCTCCTGCATTGAAAATAACTTTTTCCAGAGTAACTTTTTGTCTGTTGATTTTGTTTGTAGTATCATTTTCCATACAAATATTTCCTTTTTTCTCCATTGAAAAAAAATTTTTTATACATACGTTTTTCAAAGGTCATCAATTATGTCTTTTTTTCCAATACTTTCTAGGTTTGCAGACTTCACTAGGGAAGTCTCCTTGGTTCTGGATTGTGTATGTGTTTTCTTATTTTTTTCAATCTTTTTAAATTGTTTAATTTTTTTTTGCACTTATTCCTTAATCTGCCATTTATTTTTGTATCTAGTGTAAAATATGGGTTCCATTTTATTTTCTTTAATAGAAAGAAAACTGGATAGCCAGTTGTGCCAGCACTATTAAACATTACTTTTTTTTTGAGTTGGAGTTTCACTCCTTTTGCCCAAGCTAGAGTGCAATGGCACTGTCTTGGCTCACCGCAACCTCCGCCTCAAGGGTTTAAGCAGTTCGCCTGCCTCAGCCTCCCGAGTAGCTGGGATTACAGGCATGCGCCACCATGCCCAGCTAATTTTTGTATTTTTTAGTAGAGATGGGGTTTCACCGTGTTGGTCAGGCTGGTCTTGAACTCCCAACCTCAGGTGATCTGCCTGCCTTGGCCTCCCAAGGTCCTGGGATTACAGGTGTGAGCTACCACTCCCAGCCTTAAACATTGCAGGTTTTTTTGAGACTCTGTTGCACAGGCTCGAGTGCCATGGTGCAATTACAGCTCACTGCAGACTTGACCTCCTGGGGCAAGTGATCCTCCCAACTCAGCCTCTGAGTAGCTGGGACTACAGGCTTGTGCTACCACACTTGGCTAATTTTTGTATTTTCTGTAGAGACAGGGTTTTGCTGTGTTGTCCAGGCTGGTCTCAAAGCCCTGGGCTCAGTCTGCCCGCCTCAGCCTCCCAAAGTGCTGGGATTAGGTATGAGGGATGATGCCCAGGCATACAGTCTTTTTCCACTCTCTTCGTACCACTCATGTCCAACTCTCATGTATTCTGGGATCTAATTCTGGATTCTCTATTTTCTTCCACTGTACAATTTGTGAATGACGATAGCAATACTGTAATGACTTGATTACTCTGGCTTTACATACAGTCTCATAAGATAACAGATTTCATATGTAAAGCCACATTTTGATTTCTGGCAAGCCACTGGCATACCGTCATTTTCACCCCTATCTTATTGATTAAAGCAAGTCACATGGCCAAGCTAAGTCAAAGGGTGGGAAGTTACTTTCTACCCACAATGAAGCCATGGCAAGGGTGTGGATGCAGGGAGGGGTGAAGAATCAGGGCCAATTACACAGTCTACACAAAGAGGTAGTACATTCACACGGTTCGGAAATAATATACAAAGGGGGAGGCGTTTCTTTAATAACTCAAGCAAATAAAAAGATATTCTTATTATCCCCCCACCCCTTTTTCCCCAGATAGAAGAGCATTCTACATACACTGTTGTGCATCTTGCTTTTTCACATAACAATAGAGTGTGAATATTCTTCCTTATTAGGACAGAACATTCTTTGTTTTTTTTTTTTTTGTTTTTTCCCAAATACATAGTATTCTATTGTATCCTTGGTATTGAATAACACCATAATTATCTAGTCCCCTGTGGATGGATATCTGTTACATTTCTGTTCTTTTGCAGTGATAAGCATTGCAGTAATGAACAGCCTTGCACGGATGGGTATTTGTAGGCTGAATTCTCAGAAGTGAAATTGCTAGGTCAGAGGATATATGCCTATGTCATTTTGATAGATAACGCTCAGTTATTTATATGGTTGTGCCAGTTTACATTCCCAATAGCTATGTATGTGAGTCCCTGTTTTCCAAAAAGCTTCACTAGTAGAGTGGTTTTCAAACTTTGGGCTTCACTTTCATTGAAAAGGCGAGAAGTAAGTGCATTTCTGAGTTGCGTTGTCAGATGCTTAAGAGTTATTTGACTTCCTTCTTTGTAAACTCTGTTGATCTTGGCCTATTTTTTGTTTGTTTGTTTTGTTTTTGAGATGGAGTCTCACTCTGTTGCC